GCGAATCAAAAACAGGTTTCTCGTACTTATAATAGTTGAAATAGCTTTTTATTTACAGTTTGGTTGTATATTTATGCAATTAGCAACTTTTCCTCTTACCTTGACCAACGCTGTGCCACTTAGTGGTCAACCTGCTGACTATCCCGACATTCGTTTTTCCTCGACTTCGACCTTTTTTTGTAATTTTTATTACGATAAATTATTTTAAAATTTTGCTAAAAAATGCATATTTGCTTATGCTTATGGCGCAGAAGTTGAAAATTCGTAGGCAGCTAATGAAACAATCCATTTCATGGCAACTCATTCGTTTATTTCGATGATAAATTGGTACTGGCGCATGCATGCAAGCAGTTCTCGAAAGAAGGAACTGTCGATAACCTTGCCAAAAAATAGGAAGTGTTTCTTCTCGGCAACTCCCTAGTGCCTCCAATTTACGCAGGGAGTAATTTTGGAGGTGTCTGGACTTCTTGAGAGGGAAAACTTCATGGGTAACTAATGAACAGTGCAAAGGCTATGGAAAAAAGATTCTTGTAGGGGGGAAATATTTGACTAAAGTAAGTTGTTATTAAAATTTCTGACATTTAAGAGAACTCGAACAAAATGTCTGGATTTATATTACAAAGGTTGGGGTTTTGAATCTTTTTCTGTACTCACAGAGTGGCAGTTTGCAGGTCGTCACTGTTCTTCACTCCGTCGAAAAAGACTGTGGTGTTCCGGGTGCTGAGTTACATCGCACTCAAATAACGTTGTCAGCGCCGTTGGCGAATTACAAATCTCTGGATTTAGACAAACAATCTCCTTTTCTGTAAGTTTGCTTTATCTATCGATAGCTGCTAGAAGCAGAATCCAGAAAAACAGCAACTCATTCGTATTTGTAAGCGTTTTAATTGGATCCAGCAGCAAATCTGTAGCATCTGTTTTTGTTCTTTCTTGCGGTAAACTGCAATACTGTATTTTTGGTTTTCTGTGGTAAAATGTAGTGCTACAAGGCCTTTTTTATTTTTTTTTTAAATTTTTGTTTTTCTACAAAATCTTTTTGGTAAACTGCAGTATCTGTTTGTTCCCCTTGTCTAGCATCTCTATTCTTAACCACCAGTCAACTGCAGCTAGTCTTTTAGGCCATCTAAATCCTTGTTTCGATATTATTTTGATCCCTCACACTTTCCTTTTTCCTTGCTTCCAAAATATGTTTGCTTATCTTTATCACCAATCTATTTCCGGGTTTACTGTCAAACTCATGGATTTCAAACTAGGAAGAGCGTGGATAGGTTATGTATGATTAAGCATTTTTCAGGCATCTGCAGCTGATGTCGCCAACAAATTTTACCTCAGCAGCACGTTCACTTACCACACTAATGCTCCATCTTAATTATAATGGCAATACCGAAATGCGCCTTACAGCCATACAGATGAGGTATTTCATTTCTAATTGTACCGTCTTCCCTTTCTTGGTAAATTTTCGGCAAGGTGGCCTGAGTAGCAGCGTCTCAGGCGGTGTGGTTATATTTGTACTTGAAATAATTTGTAGCAAAACTACCGAGTATAGAATTTATCTCTGAATCGAACACTCCAAGATAGTTACCAATAGTCTCCAAAGCCGCCGCTTTCGCTAAGTACCGCTACTATCGCCAAGTCCGCCGCTGTCACAGAGTACGCTGCTACTGCCAAGTCTTGCGCTCCTCTTCCCACGTCCACCGCTGTCGCGATGTGCCGCTTCTCCTCGAAGCCTTTCTTCCGAATGGCAAAGGTCCCGGCGATGAACCCATTGTTGATCTCCCTAAAGTACATTCCCGCCCACCTCACTGGGCGGCAAATATACTGTCATAATCGATCAGCATTGTTTCCTCGCATTCGCGGCAATACTCAGAGAATCGTTGAGAAACGAAACGAATGTAAGGATAGCTGGCAGGTAACCACCAGGAGGTAGCACTGGTCAAAGCAAATGGAAAAGGCCAGGCCACCTGCATATTTGGACAACTGTGTTATGAATTGCATCTAATCAAATTACTTTCTCGTCTAAGTCTTGAAATCTTTGTCACCCTCGGAATCCGTGAACTTTTACTTCTTTAACTCTGGCGAATGGAAAAAACCAATTACAGGGCCTGGCTCAACGGTCGGATAAAGCTTCTCAGCGTGGCATCAGCAGATTCCAAATCTTGGACAATTGAGGTGGATTCTGCAGCTCATCCCGATCCTCATACTACTATCACATGCCAGTACTCCTCTGGAGATTACTTGGAAAGGTTTGTTACTTATTCATATTTATAGTCAATTTTTAATTTCCATAGTTAGCTCTCAACTATTTCTTGAATAACATTTGCAATTCTACACTAACTCGAAAAATATTAAAATATTTAAGTATGAACGATCGCATTTTTCGCTCGTTGTTGAATAAGATCACCAAGATCGTCTGGATAATCGATGTGGGTGTTCTCTGCCAGTGATGTTACTGGAATGTTCCCGCGCGCCGAATAGGGGATGTGTCAGCTATCTGGGCGAACTTACATTTTTCTGTTGCAGGTTTAACGGGTACGTGATGATGATGCTCATTAAGGTGAGAAGCTCAAAGTCGGAAGGCGACATGCACTCGGACGACACAATTAACATTCACTGGACAGTGCAATACGTGGTCGCTGAAAACTCCACCTTTACGGTACTAATAAGCTATATGTCCACAGTAGTGTCTGTAGGAGGAAACGTGCATGTAGAACTGGTAACTGATACTGAATTGGGAACAAATGATCCCGTCAAAAGCATCAAAATCCACTTCATATTCACTGTCTATAAGAGGCGGAAGCACTCGGAAGCAGCCGGATTGGCATCAAGAACCAAAAACAATCACCCGCTGACAGTCTTGCCAGCGGTTGGCTTTATCTTTTGAGGACTGCTTAGATGCAAGCTGACTTTTTTGACTCTGGCTTGTACACAGGACGAATGAACGAATCGTAGAGGGATGGGTGGAATCATTGGCGAAGTCGAATCCTTGACTGAGGACGAGAGTAGTACTGCTTGCCATTACACCATACCTATCAAAGGTGGCCCAGCACAGAGGCATAGCAATGCTTAGTCAGTACTTTCCTGTCAAGAACAGTTAAGCTTCACTCTTAGGATTGAAGATGATCTAGAAAATCCATTAAATCAGGTTAAGCAGATTTGTTTAGGATAAAACAGTAACGAAACGGGTTACGACGCAATTCCGAATTACACCAGACGTCGTCTATTCACTTCTACCGATGCTGAAAGTCAGTGATACCAGTTTGAATCAACTATTTGGACTTTCTTTCCGGAAGTACAGATAAACGGGGGAAGGGTGTTTCAGGATGAGAATCTGATAAACACGGCAGTGCTGTCCGGCAAGCAGGCATCAGTGCCAATGAAAATATTTGCGGTAACGGAAGCTGGAGATCTGAATGATGTGACGAGTAATTCGCACTGCCTGAGCTCTGAATCACGTGTCCTGAAAAGCTCACCGACCTGCAGCTCCCTCTATGTGGACGGGTATGGCTCAGTGCTTTTAGTTTATTGTGATCTAAATTTTTAGCATCAAAACATCCTATGCAAATACTTACTTGAAATAATTTAGTTGGTTGTAATTCATGTGATGGTTTTCTAATTGCACAGCGGACACTTTTCCACTTGCTTTGACCAGTGCTGCACTGTCTAGTGACCAGCGCTGCGTCGTTCCCTTGACAATTTTGGTGTTCGTTTTGTCTCCGAAATGGATTATCAACTCAACGGTTTTTCCCGTTTGGCAGGGCTTTATGTGTTATAATATGTGCGTTGAGCACTTCGTCTCAAACGTTGCTGTGTTAAATCACAATGGGTAAAATCAACTAAATTATTTATAGAGAAAGAGCTCAACGTAAGTGGGTTATACAATTGATAAAATTTGTGAGTTTTTTATAGAAAGTAGCTCAAGAAAAAGGATCGAATTCTTTTTTTTTCTGAATATCATTCCGCTAATTTAGGTCAGAGCTACGTGGCATGGGGAAGATCAAAGTTCATGTACACTTCGAAGCATTAACAACATCAGTTGAAATAACAGTCTGGTATCCACGGCTTCCCATAACTGTCTGGATTTCAGATCCAATCCTGAATGCTGTCAAAGGTTACTCTTTTTAAACAGTTTTTGAAAAAGTAATCAGATTTTTCGTGTACCATTCGGTGCTTATTTCATAATATCGGTCAAACAATCCGTGATAGTCATAACACTGATAATTCAATGACGATGATCTAGGACTCGCTTCCTCATACGACAAAACGAGACTGATAAGTACTAGCCTTTATCAGAATAGTAAGGTGTAAAAAATCCTTCTGCATTTATCCTGTGTGATAGACATTCGGGAAGTAATTCGAGAGGCAGCAAACGTTAACAGAGTTAACCAAAATGGAGAGAAATGTGAAATTGCCAGATGCATCAGTGACAATACGAAGTGCGACGATGAAACAACAACAGATGAAATTATCTAAATATCAAATGAAATCAGTATTATAGGCAAAATCACAGATCTTGAACGCTTAATTTTTCTAGACTGGCAGATAGCAGTATGGAAGTGGCTTCCTGGCAGTCGCAGGCGCAGAGAAGCACGACAGTTCGGATGCGTCAACAGGTATCAGCAAGCCGAGGTTTGTTATCTTCAGCTGGTGCGAATTTTAAACTTGCTACCTTCATAGGCTGATTTTAAACCCTGTCTCCGGAAATCGGCCCTTACTATGAGAAATCCCATTACAGCTTTCGAGGGCTTCCACTGCTTTCGTTAGGGGTTACTTTTACGGCAGAATAATATTGTAGGTAATGTGTAAGTATGTACACTTATTAAGCATGCTTTATTCGCTAGAACAAAACCAGAATCGCCGCTGCACTGACCACTGGGTGACGACACATTGATCCGCGCAGTTGGCAAAGTTGTCAGCTGCGCATTTCGAAAATCAGGCCATAAATTGCAGCCAATCAAAGTAAATATTTCATTTTTAGTATCTTCTAATAGCACTGCGAAAAGCATCCCAAAGTACTCTTCTTTCGCATGCCCTTTTTATCTCCGAACCCATCTTCCACTTTTATAGCCTTGGACTCTTCAAATCCTTTATCTCCTTCGCTATCTCCGGCTTTATGCCCCATAGTTGAGCCTACAACACCAAATATCATCTCATGGGGCAATCCACTACGCACACTTATAAATTTGCCTTTTCCCTGCATTTTGTGTCCCCATACCAACCCGGTGCTTCCTACATAGAAACTTGATGCTTACCTCGTAATTCCGCAACGTAGCCCAACCAGAAAAACAAGCCTAGCGCACAGTTTGCTTGCTAATTCCTGATCTCATTGTCAACATATTTAGTGCCACATAATCGATAACTTATCATAGGCGAATCCAGCGTAGTCTCCTAGGAGGCGAAGAGGAGCGATTTTTCTCCCCTTTTCCTCGCTTTCCACTACACCGGAAGCTCCGCCTTCCCCCTCCCCCCTCCCCTTCTCGCCCACCCGCAATCCCCTCCCCCTCGATCGTCCCGCTACAAACCCTCCCCTTCGGTTGTCACCATGTTGAACGTTCTGCTACTCTCCTTCCCTCCTTCGTCCTCTC